CAGCAGGAAAGGATTCCTGCAATCCCTTCCCAAGAGCCAGGCCCTTCCCTCTATCTGCCTCTTAAGGATAAACAGCGACACATAGGCATGCAGAAATACGCTGCTAAGGATGTTCTCTACTCCAGGAGAGCAGATGAGGGGGCAGAAATGCAATAGTTCCCCGTGCTGCAGGGGGTATCAGGAGACGGCTGTTGACTGTAATGCTGAGCAGTGCAAGAACCTGTGATTTACAAGAGAATAGAAGCAAGAATGTGCAATTTAAGCATTATAGCAGAAAACTTCGGTCCCTCAAGGTCTGAAAGACCTGACACTTCATTGGAATTTTCTTGAAGCCACTTTGGTGAGAAACAGAAACAACATTTGTAAGCAGTGATCTTTGCAACAAGCGTACTTGTACCGTGAGGAGGAGGGGGACGGCGCGGCTCCTGTGGTGGGCAGGTGGCAGAGCAGCAAGTTTTGTGATCGTCATCATGTGAGCTAAACCAAACCCGTCCCCACAGCATTGTCAGTCTTGCTGTGACCTCTTCATTGTGCCCCTGAACCGAAGGGCACCAGGGTGCCTGCAATTGGGAGCGTTTTATAGGAATGAGATCTAGTTTGAATTAAAGGAGAGCTGATCCGCAATCTCTCTTACCTGTAACTCTGGACCACTAACACCAACAGGCCCTGTTTCAAATACTTGCCAAAAAAAGAAAGGTGTGAAGGGACTAATAAACTCGGTTTGCTTCCTCTCTTTCTCTGTGTGGTGGGTTGACCCCGGCCAGCAGCTGAGCACCCACAACACCCACTCGCTTGCTCCCTCCCAGCGGGACAGGGGAGAGTAGGAAGAGCAAAAGCAAGAAAATGTGTGGGCTGGGATTAGGACGGTTTGATAAGGGAGGAAAGAGGGAAAGAACAAGTGATGCAAAGGCAACCACTCACAAGCAGCCCGATGCCCAGCCCATCTCTGAGCAACAGCCGCCCTGGAAGACAAAACCCCCGCCGCCTTCTGCTACCTCAGTTTTATCGCTGAGCACGACGCCATATGGTACAGGCATCCCTTGGCTCAGCTGGGGTCAGCTGTCCCGGCTGCGTCCCCTCCCGAGCTCTTGCCCCCCCCAGCCTACTCGCTGGGGGACAGAGTGGGACACAACGATGGCCTTGACGCCGTGCAAGCACTGCTCAGCAATGGCCACAGCCCCGGCAGGTTATAGACGCTGTTTTAGCTGCAAGTGCAAAGCACAGCACTGCGCAGGCTGCTGCGAGGAAAGGGAAGGCCGGCCCAGCCAGCGGCAGTCCTCTGCGGCCAGGTCACTTCACAGTTCCCCCATCTGTCCTCCTCCAGCCTGCACAGCCGTGCTGCGAGCAAGAAGATGGGATATTGGGTTTCCCCTCGCTGACTATGTGTGCTTAATATTTTCTCTATCGGGATTCAGTGAGTTGCAAATTAAGAATTGAGCTGCAGTGTCCTCAGCATGCAGATCAGGGGGGAGCGGGTGCTGGCAGCCCTGGGTGTATTCCCCCGGGACAGCCACCTCCTGCATTCCCCGCTCCTCAGGTGAGGGGAAAGTGGCACTTAGCCTTTTCTTATGTAAAACATCATATCAGCAAAATATGGTACTGATGCCAAGTAAGTGAAACACCCCACAGCATCATGAGGTAGCAAAGTGTTTTCCGAATTCTACAGAAGAAATCAAGAAGGAGGAAGGGGCAATGAAGCAAAAGGAAATAAAATGGCTCGTTTAAGGTTATGCAGTACCAAAGAAGTGAAAATCCCTTTTCAAACCCTCCTGAAAATCTTGTCTTTTCCGGAAACAGACTGGAACCAGGGGCTGACACTGGCAGAGGTGGTGCAAGGATTTGGTGCTGGAGGGGTCCGGCTTTGGAGGGCTGCAAGGTGAGCCATGGCTGCTGAAAGCCTGGGCAGACCTAGAGCTCCAGGGGCTGTGCATGGCAAATTCAGAGCAGTCATGTCCAATAAGAGCATCTGACTAAGGATTTGTCTGGTTTTGATCCAGCCTTTTCTCCCTCTTTGTGCAGTGCTCCACATATGTAGGTATAACTGCAATGTGAATTTCCATTGATTTTTTCCATCGCTTCATTTAGGAAAAATTCAGTGTTAATTGTATTTTCTTTTGAAGGCCACAACAATTCCTGTGCGTACTGGATAAAACAACTCAGTGAATCTCAAATCCTTGTGATTGCCACAGTGTAACTTTTATTGACTGCTGCGGGCAGGTATGGAGATCTCCGCAGGTTTCGGCGTGCAGGTGCTCACCCTCGGTGCCTCTCGGCGGCGGTTGAGCAAAGCCCTGGAGATGGCAGCAGCAGAGCTCGTACCTTTCCCTGCTGCTGGTCCTAAACCCC